CCCCTCACCCCCTCCCGGGCTCCCGGCTCGGCGGGCACCGGCTCCGCTTTCCCGTCCCTCCCCGCAGCCCGGCGCTCGCCGTCGTCTAAACGCTGCTTTCCGCTCCCGTTTCTGGTTTTGCCTATCAGGAGCGGAGCTCTCGGGGCAGCGGGGCAGGGAGGCAGGTGGGATTTCAACAGCTGCAAGTTTTACAGCGGTACGGAGAGGAATTTTTTTTTTTTTTTTTTGGCAGGGGAAAGGCAGGGAAATTCCCCTGCCAACGCTCTGTTCCCTGGCTGTAAATGCTAACTAACTTCCCAGTAACAGCCTCTGTCTCTCGCTGTTGGGGGCACACTTTGTCCCCAAACACAGCACGGATGTGCCAGTTCTGGCCGTGGCTGTGAGCAGTGAAACCGGCACCGCTCCAGCCGACAACACGAGCAACCTCCCCGCTCTGCCCCGGCGTGAGACCCCGTCCTGCCTCCCGCACACCGCGAGGGCACTAAGCCTGCTAAAACAGCCCAGATTTTTAGTGGTTAGGCAATACATTCTTGAAGCCGGCTCAGGGCTTCAACTTTCTCCTTTCAGGAGCACTGAGGATGATACTACAACTCCAGCCGCAACGCTAAACCACTTAGAGTTACCTTTTGTGGCGTAACAACGTCCAGCAGCCGAGGAGGTCGGCATTTAAATACCTTACAGGTGACACTTTGCTGTAAGTCTTGGACTCCAAAGATTTCAGTGGAAACTGAGCTCAGCCTTACAGGTACAGCGCCTAGCGGAGCCACGCGGGAGTGCGTTTACCGGTGCCTGCGCACTCTGCACGGCCCCTGCTCAAACACATCAGACTCGTGTACTTTGTCCTTCTGCCCCGTCTCACCAGATTCCCTCTGAAGGCAAGAAAATCCAAGGGCACCTCTGCAAAGTGTTCTACGTGCTGGGAAGGCACACGCTGGAGAGCTCGCTGTCCCTCCAACTCCAGCTGCACCTGCTCTGGTCCCCCCGCACCGCAAGCACAGGGGGAAGGAGGAAAAGCACAGGATTTACCTGCTCTTTGGTGTAAAAGCAGGAGAGCTCCTTACCGAGCCCCTGAAGAGCACAGCGTACTCTAGCTGAAAACCTGCCTTTTCCTTTCCTCCCAGACACCATCCCTCCTGTCAGGAACAGTGCCACGAGGAAGAGGAGAAGGGGAAAGCTGCAACCGATTCCAAATAGCTAGCTGAGAAAAAAAGTTTAGCTTTTTTCTTGTTTTTAAACTCTCCAGTCAATGGAAGAGAAGAAAAAACCCACCTACATACAAATCACATCCTTATGCACAGAGCACTCAGCTGGAAAATCTGGTGGGTTTTGTACTACACCCCTGTTCATGTCACGGTTTGCCACCTGCATCTGTGAAAAGGGCAAGAGCGTGTGCTGTGATCTGCGCGCTGGGCCACCGCCGCCGCCCGCCACACAAACCCCACCGCTTCCTGGGTCACAAACTCCTCGGGGCCTCTCCTACCGGCACAGCCCGCGGCTCCCGGGACCCCCGGCCACCCCCTTTGCCTCAGGCAGGGCTCTGCCGTCCCTGGCTTGGCATGTTGAACAGCAGGAGGGAAAAAAAAAAACCAAACTAGTTGCTAGGTTTTATACCGACCACTAGTTGGTAGGTTTTATACCGGTAGAGCACCGCCCCCCGTTCCATCTCTCAAGATAAAACAGGGATAACAACCGTCAGCCGGCAAAGCCTTGCTTGCTCAGAACAAAAGCATGTCAGAGACCACTGAGCAGTCAGGAGCATCAAACACCAAATACCGAATCGCGGGAAAAATTTAGTTTGGAAAATTTTGTACTCTGTTTTGCGTTGGGAGGCCCAACACCACGCTGCGTGGCATGCCTTACCCGTTTTAGAGTTGTTACACATCAGACCGAGCCGTGGGTCTGAACCGCAGCCCTATATCGCGGTGTCTTTCTCCTCTGCATGAACTGGGCTCCTTCTGTCCTCATCTCCCAGCACTCCGTGTTCCCAAATACTCTCTTCGCACTTGTTCCCTCCACGTATAGTCACCTCTATTACGTTAATATTACCCCACGCATACGGCCCGGGCACGAACACCCTGTTTGTACCCAGACACCGTCTAGAAGGTGCCCTGAAGAGTCACGTGTGCTGTACCTAGAGCAGGTGCATGGGCGCTTGCGGCTGGGGAAGGGGGAACGGGGAGCTCGTCCCTAACAGCCTCCCCTCGTCCTCCAGCAACCCCCGAGGAGGCGGCAGCATCTCGTTCTCAAAGAGACTCTCTGAACAGGCATTCGTGAACGGTCAAACCGGATCACGCACTCAAAAAGCAAATGCAAAGTCTCTGGAAATATAAAGGAGCCGTAGTGAGGAGGTGGGAGGACGTGGAGGTTTTTCTCCTCAGGAGCCAGCAGCCAAGTCTCTGTCTCATGACAGAGAATTATCAATTGAGCATTGGCCTTCTGCAACCCCAGAATGAGCCTCTCGCCTCCAGCTGTCAGTCGCTGGGGCTGCGGATGGTGAATCTCTTGGACCTTATTCTTAACGCTGTTAAAGACCAAACCTACAAGAGCTAAACACACGATTTACAAACAAAGAAAACGAAACCCAGTTTTCTGCTACACAGAAGGAGAAGTAAACCCCGATGGTCAGAAGGAATCCAAAGCTCCTTCCAGTAAGATCAGTTTCTACCCATCACGGTTAAAGAAAAAGCTCTGACTCTAGCTGGAATCAAAGGGGCTCAATGTTTTGGTCCGAGAGTAAGTGGAGGGCACGGCCTGGGCCGCGTTTATTTGCGCTCTACACAGAACAGGCGATGGGCTGATTTTCACAGGCCACTCTAAAACGGATTTTAATTCTACTGCTGGTTTATCTCAGTCACTTGTAGCTCCCCAAAATAATCCTGATGATTTGTAACATAATCCCTGAGCCAAGGACTACCGGGGCTTTGCTTTGTCATTATGCATCATCTCAGTAATTAAATGTACCAATTAATCTCCCAGCGCTCCCCTGGGACTTCCTCTGGGGCTGAGGCACGTCCTCTTGAGGATATTTCTTTTGGGTGAAACTCGCCGCTAGTTTGAATCAAGCACGAAGCCCCGCACTGCAGCTTACCCGGCTGGAGATTTTAAGCGAGACCTCTTTTGTCCGCGGCTCTCACCCCATCCGAGGACAGCCTGGCATTTCAGAGCAGCCTTAGGGCAACAGCCGCGCGTTTCCTTTTCTGGGAGGCAGAAAGTTGATCTCTGTTTTCCTACCGTAGATTTCACATGGTTCTTTAGCCTGTTACCAGCCCCCTTGCTGACACATCCAGACTTTTCCAAGAAGCTGCAACAGAAATCAGGTCATCTAGCCTTTTGCAAACTTGTGAGTCGGTTGAAGTGATGAACAGTCATACTGCGACGTTTGTGGAAGGATTACTCAAAAGTAATCCGAACGGCTTCATTTCTTCCCTGTCTCCCTCGGTATTCTGCTTCGATTGAAGGAAAACCACCAGACCACATTAACACCCGTCCCCGTGCTGCCTGCTAGGAACACCTGCTTACACCTGTTAATGGACGGGGGAACCCACAAGATGGACGAAGCGATCGCAGGTGGGAGGTCCTGGATGGCACCTCACGGCCGTCCCTGCGTCCTGCTCACGGTAACGGCTGGGATGGGCGCAAGACGCCAGGAGACTCCAAGTAGGCAGCTCCTCACCGCACCGCAATGTGGTATCATCGGTTACGTTTGTTCTGAATTTAACAATGACAAAAGTTTGTCAGATTAATATTTAGAGGGTGAAATACCGGGTCAACGGGACAGAAAGGGCTTCCCCAGGCAACCTCTACCTTTTAGGGAGGTAAGAGTCTGGTAGAACGACGACCTTCGATTAATCTTTTTCTGTCTGTTCTTTCACTTGCCCAACGAACCTCCCAGAATGGGTTTATGGGGTCACTGCCTGATCGCTGGAAAGCAACAACTCGACTCGCTACTGACTCTCTGACCTACGGAGGTAGCTTAGAAAAGGACTTCAGCATCATATTCTCATGGGTCTGATTTCACTTCCCCACACAGGGCATCATTTCACACTTCTGAGAGCTTCAGGGTGTCCAGCAGCACTGCTTTTCGAAGCTACTCTCGCAAAATCAGGTGTCTCACTAATATTCAGAGAAAAATCTGAAAAGCAAAGAAATTCCTCGCTCTCTGTCAGTAGCCACTTCTCCAAGCAAAGACACAGTTTCTCTCTTTCCTGATAAAACAGTTGCTTTGGGGTTTTTTGGTCTCTTTCCCGAGTCCTTTCAGCTTTATTTGGGAAAGACAGCAGGAAAAGCTTTTTTCAGTGACACACCACTAAAATTGGAGACAATATTCCAGGTATAGTCACAGCACCGCAAGGCAGGGGCAATAAGAGGAGATTAGTATCTACTTACTTCATTATCTGTAACTCACGTGTCATTTGCTTCCCAAAAATCAGCAAGGAGTATCCATGATAGGTTTCCTTCTCCCTGAGCACTCAGTAGTTTGGGTCAGTTCCTCTAACCACTTACAGCAACGTCGATTTTTCTGAAACAATTCTTGTTTTCACTTTTTGGTCTTCATAAATAATGTACTGTCTCTGTCTCTCCTTCTTGTCAATTCAGCTCGTTTCAAGACGACAAGAGATCGCTGTCTGCAGCCCGTCCTGACAGCTGGTTCCTGGAGACCCTCTTCTTCAAGGTTTCCTTGGAAGCAGCTTTATTGCTGGGGCAGGGATGGGAGGAAGCAGCACTCTGAACACATTTAGGAGGACCATACTGACATCACGGAAGAGTCAGTGACACACAAGCCTCAACATTTCTCTGGAAGATGGGGAGTGGAAACGCGCGAGCGCAGTCCTTTGTGAGAAGCGATTCTCGAGCAACCTGCCACGGGGACCGTGCGGGCGACGCCGTGCTCAGCTGCCGGGCAGAGGCGGGCAATGGGAAGGGCCAGAGGTCTGATCACAGGTCAGGTAACATCGCTGCCGGGCATCTGCCATAAACCAGGGAAGGATGCCCTGGAAGCCCCAGCATAAACACTCTCCGAACAGGTAACGGGGTTGCTATTTAGTGACGCAAAGTGATCTGCAAGGGTAGAGACCTCGAGACCTACCCTCAAGTTCAGAATTGTGTTCTCCCACAAGAGGAGTTCCTGTGGGTTTACAGTAAGACCCGGGGAAGGACAATACCACATTGAGCCTATTTGCTCATCGCTGGTCAGGGTTGCAGCAGCCTGCCTTCTTTGTTTGTTTGTTTTTTAATTGATGGGCATAACTTTTCAGCAAACCTCTCCGAGACAGGTCAGGAATGACAGAATAGTTAAATTCTGGTCGTTATTAAAACTAAGTGACGAGCAGATAAGCCGCAGAGAAGGACAACCTCCTTCAGGCTGGATGCTCTCCCATCACCAGCACACGTCAGCATCCATCTCTCCTGCCCGAGAGACGATGTCAGCAGGGAACCAGACTTCCAGACCCACTGCAGTGCAATCCCCGCTACACCAGAAAAGCGGCAACCAAAACCAGACCGATTCCAAACCAATTCCATCTGCAAACAGCAGATTCACTGATGGGGACACTGAAGCGTCGCAGAGCTTGTCAGGGTGGGTTCAGCGAGTGAAGGCACGTAACGAGACGATCTAACCGCTGAAGAGTAAAAGGAGGAACGTGTGAATCTCTTGAAGGCACGGAGATATTTTTAACATAGTTCCTCTGCCCCGTCTCACTAACAATGGAGCGTTCCCAAGTAGGAACAGTCTCTAGAGCTAAAACAACTCCAGTGGCAAGGAAAAAGCACAGCTAGAAAACTATTCTAGTTGGGGGGGGGAAGTGTAATAATGTTTGTCCCAGCAAATCACACATACCTCTTAAGTATTTTGTTTAGTCTCGCTGGCCCTTACAGCATTTTTGCAGTCTATAGCGGATAATTTCCATCAGGCAAACCTAAACAAAGCCATCATTTCACTCGCGCTCTGAAGATGTTCAAAGCTCATGTCCCATGCTGTGGTTTCCCTCTTGTGGCACAAGCAGTAAGCTGCAGTTCTCCTCCGGGAGAGATCTTCACAGAGTAGACAAGGCACTGAAATATCTTACCACTAAACAACATTTTACTGTTCATTGCTCCCAGCCTTCACTCAGCTCTTAGACTTCCCCTTCCACTGCTCGCCCAGGCCGAGAACGCACCGAGAATTCAAAACGAGCATCCGAAAGAAGCCGCAGGGACCTGCTCGGAAGCAGCTGCGAGCCTCGTCCCACAGGAGAATTCAGATGGCCTCAAAGCTGCTGCCGGCTGCAAGACGTCAGCATTGGCCTGATCTGCTTTCCCCCGAGAGCAGCTTTTTTTTTTTTTCTTTTTTAAACTTCTGCAATGCAACAGTTATCGCTATACTCGTTAAAAAGGCGAAAGAGAACGAATGATGATAGAGAACACGGGGCGCAACTTGGGAAGGTGCAGCCTCAACAAAACCCCCTTGACCAACAAATAAAATCAAGTCCATTTCAGGTAGGGAGTTGCTTTGTTTTTGGGAAACAAAGCTGTCTTCCATGTTTCTGGCACTATTTCAGTCCAGCAAAATGTAGCTTTTCCATCAAACACAATGCAGTCACCAGGCTACAAAACTCGGAGTCCTTTTGAAGGACAAGAGTTTAACACTACTGCCTTCTGGACACCACCGCTCCAGATCATTTTCTGTCCGTTTTTACAACACATACATACATACATTTTTCTGTGATTTTTCCCATTTACATTTCGGCTATCTAGGGCTTTCTCTGCATTATTTATTCTTGTTTCCAGAATCTAAACCACTACCAGTAGTGCACTGAATAGATATGTGAATAGATAGAAGGTAAAATTCATTCACAGATTTAAACGTCAGAATATATGCTAGCCCAAAATTACCTTCCTCCTGTCTAAATCTTCGTTATTTCTAATTATTAGTTAATGAAGTACGGAAAATTCCTGTTTCACTGCCATTTAAGAACACCACTTTTCTTGTTCTTCAGAGAGTCTGACCGCAGTGAACCCCGACTTGACTACACGCACGTTACTCAACATTTTAACGCAGGAGAGGCACGGTACCACACACACTACGGGGCTGTTTCTAGGTAAAGTGGGTTCCAATCTGAAAAAAGAAATTTCTCAGTGAGGACCAATGTCCCAGCAACTACGAGATTTGAATTGGCAGAGGTTTTGAATTCTATAACCGGGGGAAATAAGAACCTTCTAACAAAAATTTCAAATGCAGCTCACCTTTCAATTTTGAGTTATCAATTATTAACATAAAACTTCCCGAAATTCCATCGGTATGAAATCCACCTACAGGATGAGGAAAAAAAACACTCCTAAAATTATTTAAGAATATATTCATCCAGAAAATTCTGAAAACATATACTGGATGAAGTGCCTCTGTCATCACAGGAACCCCAAAACTAATTAGCAAGTGAGAATACAATCCTTTGCTCATTTTTGTCAAACAAGAATACTCAAGAGTCAAAAATCCCACAGTATAAACCTCTCCGCTTACTCCTACCAGGGCCAGTGGGACTCAATACCCAATGCTTTCATAGCTGGTAATTATTATTTTTTTTAAAATCAAACAAAACCCAATTAAGACAAAAACCAGTTTTATTTATAGCTTAATTTACAGGAGCTACTGAAGATTTAAAATTGATACAATTTTTCAGGTTAACCACTTATATCCACTACTCACAGAGAGTGGAAGTACTAAGGAATTTTTTTTTAACCCATTTAACTTGATTTATTTTAAAGTTTTAAATCAGTTAGTTCCTTTTTCTTCTTGGAAAGTAAACTTCGAATAACACAGGCAGAATGGAAATATCAGTACTGAGCAGAAAATAAAGCCTCCTTAGAAGCATGTTTCCAAAAATCCCAGTACCATGGAAGGAATCAGGCTTCAGGGTGCACAGCAGATCCAAGAGAGTGTTTCTGTTCACTATCCAACCACTGGAATTTGTTTTTAAAGAAAATCATCCTTTCAGTATCTTCTGCTATTGGAGACAGCAGCTGCTGCCAAACACCAAACAGTGAATGTGAATCACTTCTTCCAGGAACGCCAGTGAGGTACGGATGGGTAGTCTGGCCTCCTTATTTAGCCAGCTCAGTTCCACTGCAGTACTATTGCTGGGGTTTTTCCAGAATCCGAAGGGGCCATGAATGACAGCCACCTCCAGGATATAAAATTTCGGCCTAAGAGTGGCCACAGTAGAATTTACAGGCTAATACAAATAGGGAATTAACTTTTGTAGTTCCAACAGAGGACAATATTCTGCTTTGTCTCCCGCCAGTGGTGAAGGAGAGAGACCTTTCAGACTTGATCACCTTTGCAGGAAGAAATGCTACCTGTCGGTGCACAGCACGTAATCCAGAGCGAAGGATCAAAGATATTCAAATGAACCTCATCCTGCTTCCGTTCAGGTTGAGAGCCAGAGTGCAGCGCTTGCTTTCTGCTGATACCAGATACTTGCCCTTTCTGTCGGTGAGATTATGACCAGAAGAAAACTTGGATTAATCGCTGCTTCTTCACATCACTGCGGCACTCTGGGCACTTCTTCCTCATCTATATAAATAAGTGAACAAAATACATAGATAATATTTAAATTTCTCTATCAAGTTTGTTATTGTCCAGTATGAACTAGAAGCCGCGCTAGTCATTTGATAGTCCCCAAGATACCGTACCTACTATTTTTAAAGGCAGTGTTACCGTGCAGTCAGTTATTTAACTGCTAGTAATAAAAGGAGGAAAAAGAAAGCCTCCCAGTGAAGTAGCAACAAACTTTACAGCAGTTGTCTCAGATGAATTACAGCTATGACATATCTGGAAGACTAAAATACAGGAACAAGGAAATAGAGAGCCTGCAAGAGCTGTTGTGAAGTATAGTTGTACTTGTTATTAGTAAAATCCCGTAAGATGGCTGATGAGTTCCCTGAACTCCTGCTTCCTCTTGCACAGATGAGAAGGAAGTGATCTCCTGGGCGTACCAGCACATCGGTGATACATGTGGTCATGACCAAGACTTTTGTAGGGGAACCACATACATTTATTTCTTCATACCACCACACACCTTTCTCGGTTAACAGCAGAAGACTGGGTACATGAGGCAACCGTTTCTCCACCCAGGTTTCAGTTTGCTTCTTCGCTAATCTTAAATTTTAAAGTCTGGTCTTTAGCCATTTGACCTGCAGATGAGCCTCAACTGTTCTTTTTATATCTTGCAAATTACTAGTAAAACTAAAACGCTCTGCTTATTTCAAAAAGTGTGGTAGTGAAAGATTTTTGAAAAAAAATAATCTTTGTGGGAAAATTGCCAGCTCAGTAGGCTAAAATGATGGCTACCTACATCAGTGGCACTGTGCAGGCTTCGGCTTCCCTACAGTATGGAAGTTAATCGTTGTAACAAAAGATGTAGACTGCAAAGTAGGTTCGGGCACTAGTATTTCGAGTCTAGAAACATTAATTGAAATACCCTAAATGGAGGGGGAGAGGAAAACTCACTTTACTTCCCAGTAGACAGTGATTTATCAAAGAGCTCTGAAAATTTTAAGTGTAATATATAATTGTGAAATCTTATATTATTTGCCCATATTACAGATAGCCCAAATGAGAATAACTCAGTCTCTCTGGAATACCTGCAAAAAGAGCATGAATAAACAATGCGTTTAACCATTGAAAAGCAGCAGTAGACCTCTGCACAGAAAACTAAAACCAAAAGCAGCGTATATCGGCACAGTCTCTGCAAGGCTTCCCCTAACGCATTGAAAATCGCCCAACATGCACCGGCACTAATCCCTCCGGCTGCAGGGAGTTCTGTCTGCTCCTCCAAAAGCTTCCAAAACATTCCAAAATTATTCACCGCCTCTCCCCACCACTATTTCAGTAAAATAACAAATTGGAAAAGACATCACAATTTGCAAAAACCAAGTCATTGCATTTTGAATGACAGGCCGTTAGTCACTTCCTCACAGGACAATATGCACCAAAATGCTTTTGAGCTGAAGAAACAGAGTGAGTAACTTGTTAGCAAAGAAAAAAAAAAGATGAGTTTTCAAATCCAGCCCAGTCAGTGGTGACAAAGCCCGACGCCATCTGATGAGAGTTCAGAGCTCGGACACAACCAACGTGGTTGCTCACTTCCTGCTGGTAAGGGGACCTCTATCAGAAAGAGCCCCGGCCATGAATGGAGTCTGTTGTCTGTACAACAAACCGACGCACGGGTAGGAATGCGGATGGAAGTGTTAGGAGATGGTTCCTCTGGGATTGGTTTCAGAGAAACATGAAATAATCTTCTTCCTGTTTGCGATGCTCTGCTCTCAACCAAGCTATTCTTCCTTCTCATCCGCATGACTACCGGAGAACAGTTTTGCCTCATCACTGGGAGAAGCGTCTCTCTCCATCAGTCCTCACGTAATATCCCAAACTACGTCATTTGACTTTTCATTAATCAAGCTACGCTTGAATTGTATCATAAGCAAGCTAACATTACTGTGTACCAAGAACCATTCATCACTAGAAAGGTGTGCCATAAGTGAGATAAGAAAAGGTGACGAGACCATGTAGTTTCACGTTCTCCATAACAAAGACTATAGAATGCCAGTCATGCTGAGCCTCGAGGGGTGCTTGAACAGTAGCGCAAAGGTTTCAGCTGGAGAGAAGATGCTTCTTACATCCCCCACACCCAATAGTTTGTTGTTCAGAGCAAGAAAAAAAAAATATTCTTAGAAAGAAGGACTTTGATGTATGTTGTCTATGGAGGAGGCAAATGGATCACACTGTTGGTGTACGTAGAAAGACTCCAAAGGTGCACTGACAAAGGACAGGATATCCATGACATGTTTTCTTGAGAGTATTTGTTTGTCCTTTTTAAACAAGTGGGGCATTAAACTGAACTAGCAAGAAACAGGATCAAAAAACAAAAAAAAAAAAGACATGGTTCTTCACAGAGCGTTTGGCTAAGCTGTGGGAGTGCTTGCCACGGGACATGGATGACAAGTTCATTTGTGTTCAAAGGGAATTGGACGATGTGAAGGAAACACATCAGAGGTTTCTTAATACACAGAAGCAACCTTTGGCTCAGGGAGCTCTTGTGCTGCAAATAGCTTTGGGGCGGAGAGATTACCTGCAAGAATCATCACTCATGCCTACCGTGTTCTTTTATCCTTTCCTAGCCATGCTTTTTTAGCCACTGTCAGAGACCGAATGCTGGGTTGTATGGACCTTTATGTCATGGACTCGGTATGTCTGCTATTACGTTCTGATTATTTGCTTAAAGCTCTATCTGCCTTTCCTGATCTTTACAAATTCTACGACTGTATTTGCCTCACAGGGCTGTGGTATGCTATCACAAGGCAAAGCTCTGATTCACCTTGCTAATAAAAACACAGATATTTTACTTCCCATGCTGTCCCCCGGTACAGCGTGGGAGGTACAATGTTGGATGAAGTTTCACTGTAACTAGCAAGATTGTTCAGGTAAGTGGCAAATATGGAAGTCGTTAATAACAAGTGACCCATGGGGAATGACTCATTTCCTCAAACATGGCTTTGTATTCGATATCTGAATAGAACAGAAAGAATACTTACAGTTGGAATGGACCTACAATGACCTACACCACCCAACTGCCTGACCACTTCAGAGTGAACAAAAGTTAAAGCATATTATTAAGGGCATTGGGGCATCAACCACCTCTCTAGGAAGGCTGTTTCAGTGTTTGACCACCCTCTCGGTAAAGAAATGTTTCCTAATATTTACTGTGAACTGCTCCCATGCGTCCTGCCACTGGATCCCAGGGAGAAGAGATCAGCACCTCCCTCTCCACGTCCCCTCCTCAGGAAGCTGTCGAGAGGGATGAGGTCGCCCCTCAGCCTCCTTTCTCCAAACTAGACAAACCCAAAGTCCTCAGCTGCCCTCAGAGGACGTGCCTTCCAGCCCTTCCACCAGCTTTGTTGCCCTCCTCTGGATGCATTCAAGTACCTGAATCTGAAATAATCTAATCCCCAGTCCAAGAGATGTGCAATCAGAAAAAGGAGTGATTAAAAAAATTGAGGCTGAGCAAATTGTGATTTATCTATGAGCTATGAAAATACATATTAACTTGGGGATTAAGGAGAAAACCAGACCGCAGAATTACCAATTTCAAGACAAAAACCACAGAACAGGGCAGTGCAATTGCTCAATATGCAACAGTTCTAATTTTGTGGATTCTTAAGCTGACAAAACAACAATTATTAGTTACATCTTACTGGCAAAAGGAGAGTTTTTCCCCAGACATTTATAAGAGAAAAATGTATGGTCTGAAATAACATCACCTCCCTGTGGGATAGTAACTGTTTGCTTAACCAAAAAGAAACCTCTCCAGGGAGCTCATTCTGTTCCTTAATCAGCTCAAGTCTCAAGCAGCAGAGGTTATGAAAACACGCTAGCAAAATTCTTGTCATGGCTTTCCTAGAATCTTTTCTGAAGTGGAGTATGCCAACTGTCAGATGTTCATCCCCATTATACTTTGGCACAGAAGGAACAAATGAGCATTCAGTGGTAATGCCGATTGAAGGCAACTGGTTTGACTGCCCAATCTGCAGCAAACATGAGATGCCTTCCTTTGGCTTTCTTGTACTTTCTTACATATGCTCCTTATAATCGAATACTTTCGGATTTTAACATTTTTAAAGAAATATGGCACAGCAGACTGAGGATGAGATTTAGTTGAACAGCTATTCTGAATTCCCTCTAGGAGATTTATGTCTGAGAACATCAGTCTGGACATTATTCTATATTCTTCTTGGACCAAGTCTGTTTTGGTCGTTATATTTTATCTGGATGTTAGTATACTGTTTATTTTCTACAATTAGCTGACAATTCACAGTGTCTTCTTCCTGAGAAAAAGACCTTCCTCTGGAACTTGGAATGACTGATTATTTTGTACTTGCTTATAGATTCACAAGTTGAAGAAATTTCTTTTCCTTCTGTACTGTTTTCAGGTAGGTTCCTGAGCTCCACTGATGAGCAGCCTTCTTCATCACCGATGAATGTTTAGAAACCACTCAACTCTTGTATTAGACTTCCATGCCCAGGGTCACAGATTATTAATACCTGGCTGCTGAATCAAATGTTGGGTAAGATGCTACCAAACACATGTGCTGTGGGATCAGTTACATCCTCTTACCTAAAGAATTTCAACCACCAATTTACTCAGCCAGGAAAACCAAAGGATAACACAGGAGATATTTGAGCGTGAATTTGCCTTATCTCATGATAGGGCTTTAGAGTAGGTTTTTAGATGGGGAAAATCATGAAACTAAGCAAGAAAAAAAAAAGTAGAGGTTCAGATGTAGAAAGAAATTTTTTTTTTCCCAAGTTGACTCCACAGCTTGCTGCCTGCATAGCTCTAGTCGGGAAAACATTTGGAGGAAGCTCAGAAGGAGCTGCAAAGGTGTAAAAAAGACAGCATAAGGCAGAGGTCTGCCTCCAATCAAGTTGCAGAACATGGAAAGTAATGAAAGAAGTGATAAATCTTCCATCAGGGTTTAGGTGTTCTCTCTGTAAACAGAGGAATTCTGTTTCCAGGGCTGTCCACGCGGTTCTCCTGAAAAGCACAAAATTCACCAGCAGTTTCAGGAAAAACTGAAACCAGTAAACAAGATAACCTTTAAGAACTGCTCCCAGCATGTTTTGCAGCAAGTGAAGTCACATAAAGGACATTTAAAAGGCACATCATCCTCAGATTTGCAGTTAGAGCACTGGAATCTTCCTAGAACAGAGGGAGAAGGGCAGGGAGAGAGGGGGAGAGAGAAAGAGAAGGAGGAAATGACTAAACTCCAGTAATCACCTGTGAAATTCTCATGCATACACGTTTCCAGTGCAGTCCAGAAAACAATGACCATGAGCTTTATGAACTACCTTAATAGTGCAATACCTGGCCCTGTTACATTATTTCTTTCACATGACCTCAACTCAGTCTCTCGGTGCTTCAGATCCCCATTTAGAAACTGAGGTTACATCCTTGCTTTACAAGGAAGTTGTCGAGAAAAATCTGCAAGTTCTCAAGAAACTATTACATCATTGTGATAGAGACAAGGAATTACTTTGTGAGAACATATGCAAGTGGCAGAAAGTACAAATTTTACTTAGCAAACCGCACTAAACATTATTGCACCTGAGCAAGTATGGGCATGAACCAGTTATCATTTAATTGATAACCAGCATAATTGTCATTTCTGTAACTTATCTTTTTTCCTGATATTAGAGAATTGCATCCAAAATCTCACCTATACTTACCACACTCTGGCTCCATCTCTAGGGGGAAGATAGGCACAGCTCCAGAGCCTGTGGGTGCTCTCACGTTACTGGTTTCTTTTGATACTTTGGTCACTGGAAATTCAAGTTTGCTTTTCTGATTAAAGCAGAAGGAGGAAATCTTTGTCTGAATTTTCTCTGGCGCCTCATCCTTAGAAGTGGCTGCATCTGGTTATATATAAAACAAACAAACAAACAAACAAACAACAAACCAAATAAACCAGCATACAAAACAGTATAATGCAGAACACAATACACAGACGCTGCAAGACACGGTTAGTAGTACGTTCAGTAAGTTCTCATTGTATAAGATGACCAAAACAATTTGAATAACTATTTTTTTATGCCGTACTGCTTGGTAACAGAAGTTTCTGATACTAACACACATTATTACTGAAAGGGACCCTTTGCATTGAAATAGCTCTGTGGCAAATTCTTCCTAGACACAGTGGATCTTGATCCACTCCTGCCCGCGCCCCACTTAGGTGCAAAGAATTTCCCTTCACCCCTAACCTGCTTAACAGTTTAAAGAAGATGGCACTACAATTTTTTTCTTGTTTCCTTGCACTTCCCCACCTCACGTTGCCTTCTATCTTACACCTTTTTTTTTAACTCACTTTGGATGTGGCCAATTGCTTTGATCTTCTTTGACGTACCTAGTGCAGGGAGGCCCCAGCCCACAGCTAAGGCTGTTGGACACTACCCATCATAATAAATAATAAATAAGATTCTAAACTTCAGACCAATGTTCATTCCCAACCTTGTACGTGGCTGTTTTCTCCTTTAGTGCACCAGCTCTCCAAACTCAGAGGGCTCCCTTCCCCTTGCACCTGCTCTTGCAATTGCTTCTCTCCCTCGCCACAGACCATTCCAGTCAAATCTTTACACATCTCTTTGAACTGCTCTTTGTGATGAGGGCGCACAAACATGTAAAACCCTGTCCAAAAGAAAACACAGTCAAATGCATAGGAAAATAAATGCCTGACCATGGAAGACTCCTTGCTTTGGAGGGGAGAAATTCTTTGGAAGCTGAAGAGTATCAGCCATATTCCTCAGAGTATCTTCAGGTTGGTGGAACACTTGATGCTTTTGTTGATTTTATAATTATGGGGGTTTCCTTGCCTGAAGACAGATAAGTATTTAGTATTGAAAATAATCTCAACTTACCTCAAAATTCTCCCGTTCTCTACAGCTAAGCATAAATACCTGATCCAGCCCTTCACCTGACACCTGATCTAGGGAAATCAGGTACATACACAATATCTGAAAAAGACTTTCTCAAAAAGGAAATCTCTTGTTACTGTTTGATTGACAAGGATTCACAACACACATACAGAAATTCTAAGAAGTCCCAATTATGACTTACTGCCAAGCACAGACAATTCTACCACAAAGTCCTCTGGGGTCAAAACATTTGCTCAGTAAAGATACTGACTCTGTGAGAAGGAATGCTCAGGGGGAGGTTACGAGTCACAGTGCCACACAGTTCATTTCCCTCCCACTCTTCACTGTGCCAAGACTAATCTGACTAGTTAACGCATTAGAAAAAAAAATCAGTTTCTAAAAATTGGAGACTACGACATCTATTCAAGGTCAATGGAATACTTATTGTTATTTCCTAAAGACAACAAACAAAACTACATCAGCATTTCCCAGCATAAACCGCACACATAATTTCCCGCAAAGTTCACACCGGAGACACGGGAGAAGGTGGAACTGAGGTTTTACATAGCACAAGACAAGATGTCTCCATCAAGGCAATCAAGACCAGCACATAATCCCTTTTCTTAATCTTTTTTTTCTTTTTTCTTTTTTTTTTTTTTTTTTTAAACTAAAGCCCAATTTCAAATTTTGAAAGCTTGTAGCTTCCTAAAATCCTTTCATCATTAAACCCATGAAAGGAAAAATCCCCAAACCAAACCACTTCTTGAGAAAATAAACATCAGCTTGAAATTTCTAGAAGATTATGATGAATGATAAGGATACTAAATTATGGCACAGTTCCATAACTATTCCCAGGTAAAGGTCTGTAGAAGAATAGTGAATCAAAAGTGTGACTGCTTATGCCAAAACCTGGAAGCGATCTAAGAGCTTAGCACCAGTACAGCAATCAACAGTCATGGGAACAAAATTGAGTCACTGCGATAGTCAGCACTGTCTTTTCTAAAGAGCAATCACTTGTAGTAATTGAGGAGGAAAAAAAGGCAATGATTATTTGACTGAAGTTAGCTTGACTGAAGGTTAGGACTGGAATTACTGAGGCCTTATCGAATGTTTTTAATGGACAATTTCTAACTGAACAAACAGAGATAACATTTCATAACCTTGACATTTTTTGCTCTCTGACTGACATTCATTTAACACATCTTTCCCGCTGCTCCATTTCGCTGGTTTGCTAAACCAAAAGATGGGAGAGGTGAAGTTTACCAATGCTAAAAGTTTTTCCTAGAAGTGGAGAATTTGCAAACTAATGACCAGTGAAAGGTTATTGCTCACACGAGATCACAGCACCTACACGTCTTCTTTTCAACTAAATAAAAGTGATTTAAAAAAAAAAACAAAACCCCTTACTTTGTAGGAGATGAAAGTCTTCTGGCCTCTCAGTGGTGAGGGCTGCTATCACTGATATCATAGCATCATAGTTATCTGTCTTCTTGTAAGCTAACAATGCTTCATAGAAACGGCTGTAAGTGCTTTTGTTCAAAGCCCTTTTCACGTCGTTGAGATAAGTAGCCCTGAGGACCTGGTGGTGATCTCTCCTAGAGCTTGAAGCTTTTTCAGTGTCTTTCCTTGGAGCTCGACTGGTGTTCTGCCCTGAGAGACAAAGAACACACGTGAGCAGGGCTTGGAGACGAACAGAGGCACACAGGTCACTCCTCTGTATCGACTTCTCTTCGTTCAGAAGGGGGTTCCTGGACTACTTCAAAGCGGTAAAGCCAACGCTGCCTGCACAGCCACACACCTCCCTCTGGCAGGGCCTTGGGCAGAGCCAAGGCCTGCTCCTGGAAACGGCAACCGAGCAAGTTAATTCTAGGGATCGCTTTTAGCATCTTCTGGAGTTTTTTGATCTTTTAAATGGAGAAATGTGTCAGATGGTCACTAGGGAATGAGAAAAAGGTGACACAGAAGACACTGTGCACGGAGGTCAGCCATAAATCAGGTTTTGTTCTACACTGAAGGAGTAGCGGCATTTTAAACAGATGGCTTAACCAACTGTGCTGGCCTGACACATGAGCAAGTAAACTGTTGAGAGCAATTTTAAAGAATAGATTTCTCACCCCTTATTAATAAAAGGAGAAGAGGCATGTGTGTGTTTCCCAACAGGAAAAACATAGTGCCAAAAAAGCATATCTAACCTGAAAAAACACACAAGATAGCACAAGAGCAATGTAGGAGTACAACAGAAGGTAGGAGCAGCTATGAACATCCTGCTAAACTCCAAGTGGACTTCTGTTCAAAATGTCGGTCTTTGATTTCTGATACGTTTTAGAGGAAAAAGTTCTGGTTTGCATATTACAGGCATGCAAATATGGATGAAGCTTATGATAATAAACTGATTTAAATAACCAGCCACATCTTTTGGTATTTAGATCTTTATTCTCCACTAAAGAACTTTTAAAGAAGTTAAAGAAGATAATGAAGTTTTAAAAGATGGGCTTAGTTCAATTTCCTGAAAGGGGCAAAACACGGGTGTGAGCTTTATAATCAGTATCTTTTATTGCCTATCATACAGCTTTCTGACACTTTCACAGGAGCATACTCTACTTAAGGAGTGAGCAACAGAAACAATACATGCATTTATCACTATTATTTTCTCAGTTACTTTTAGTGGAAACAAGTTCCTGTGAAAATCAATCTCACGGACCTCAGGACAAAATAATCACCAAAGACTGTTTTGTTCAAATGTTTTTAAAATACAAAACGTAACAGGAAAACAAATCAAAGGAACAACATGGCTTCATACATGAAAAGCTTTTAAAGCCTTCCAGGAAACATCGGCTTTAAAAAAAAAAAGGATTAGCTATTCTTTACCCTCTAAAGAAAGACTTCTAAGCTGTCCAACTATCCTACTCATTTCCTTGTGAGAAATACAAAAAATTCCCAGCTGTTCTCAGGAAGATCTGTAATCAAATAATAACTGAGCCTTTGACTTCAAAGATAAATACTGGACAGTATGAGATTAGAGGGATGCATACAGAGATTACGTGCAATTTTGAGAACACATTTGCTAGTCTCCGTTTCTGCAGAAAAAAACCAGACTGCCCACATGAGTGTGCACAGTACCAATAACAAAACAGGAACTGTTTTCTTCTTCATACCTGGATTCACACTGACCTCATCTAAAATTACATTCCTTAAATGGCTCTCTTTCATGAACCCTGGACAAACAGGAAGCCCAGCAGTTTTGTGCTCAACTCACCCTTCCCCTCACTGACGTATGTTAGGTCAGTCTCCAGCACAAACTTCTGGCTTTAGTTGTTGTAGTTTTGTACAATCCTTGTTGAAAATTCTGAATTACCATCACTCCTACCTACAGATAGCAAGCCACTGTGCTAGGTGAACACAAAACACATTGGTTCCCACCAGGAGAATCTACAGTCAGAGACGAAATGAAACATAACATGTATTACCTTGGGACTGTGTTTTTATTGTTAAATAAAGTGTACCTGCACTATTCAGTCCTGTTGTCAAGTGGAATCCTCCCCGGTTCAAGTGGAGTCCAGGGTTTAGCTGACTGCACGAGTCCTTTGCGAATGCTGTTTTCTGCTGACTCTCTTTTTCTTCTGTTAAATCAAACCAGTCCATTAACAGTGAACTTAGGGAAGCACGAACATAGAATGGTGCATTTTAAAGTACGCCATTCTATGCTGAAAATACCTGAAGATGTAGATGTATTTCTGTGATAAAAGGGGATGAGCTAACACCCTGCTTTTTTTAGGACTTTATTGGTGGCACTATGTGGGTAGCAAAGACGACAGAGGAATACACACAAAGTTTTTAAATCCAGACTAGATTCAAGATTTAAACAGATCTGTAAAATCCCCTTTTGAAATAAAATGGCATCATTACTAACTATGCAATAACTAATGCTCAGGCACCTGCGTGTGCTTATGGAAAGGCAGGCAAGAGGATCGTGCAGAGCAGACACTTGGCTCGATATGGATTAAACTAAATTGCTTTCCACCCTTGCATTTCTACACATTAGATGTGTCTTGCTCCACCACTGGACAATGTCCAAACAATGCAACTGCCTGCCCGGTGCTGAAACAAGCTTCTCACCTATTTTCTTGGCCAGTATCTCTCTCTCTTCCCGCAGGAGGCTGTGCTCAGGTTTGTAGCCACAGCCCACTCCAGTCAGATTGCAACATGCTTCATCAAACTGTTTTTTATGTTGAGGTCGAACAAACTGGTAAAATTCTTTCATTAGAGAGAGGGAAGGGTGGGCGGGTGGGTGGGAAACAAACAAAAAAACCAAAAAAAACAACAACAAAAAAAGAAAAAATCAGTCCACGACAGGTAATTAATGCCACAGAAACCTACAATGGCAGGACTTCTAGGTTAGGCAATATGAAGATAAAAAGTGCTGCTAAATAACTTACAATGTAAATGCCATTATCTAATATGTATACAATAAGCACACTTATAAGTTACACAAAGGTCAGCTACCATGCAAACTTCCAGTAATATTACCACCAATAGGTAATAACTGTAATTTTTTCACTGTAAATATGAAGTAGCTTACCTCTTGGTGAAAACAGGTACTTGCAGCAAAAGGTCATCAGCTACCTCATAAACCGTGGGGTCAAATTATCTGCCAGGCTGACACTTTAAATAACTGATATACTGTTAATTTTACACCTCATGTTACTTACCATAAAATGCTTGCCAACCAAAAGCCTAAACGTCAAATGAACTTTATGTTTCGGGTGCCTGTCACTTTTGAAAACTAGAATCAGGCCTTAATTTGGCAATCAAATATTTTCTTATTTATATAGCAAGATCAGCAAATTGGGAAACAGACTGTGGCTACTATTAGTACCAAGTGCTCACACTGAGCTTCCCATTCCTTAACCTTAAAATTAACCTTAAACAATTTACAAGATGAGTAACTATGCTTTTTTATTTTAGTACATGAAAGAAGTCACAGAAAAATCTGCCCATTTGCTCACAAGTTGAGAGGGAAAGGAAAATTCACAGAGAAAACACTGTTAAACTAAAAGAAATGTTGGTGGGAGTCCAGTTCCTGTCAATGCAGTTGTTAAAAGTCAAGAAAATACCAGCTAAACCAGTAAACTAACCACGCTTGCCCAGATCACTTGCTTTATACTCACCATTATTTAAATAGAAAGTTTCTCTAGATATTCTGTCTATTTGTTTACTGCTTTAACACTGAACCCTTATGAATGCACCTATCCAACTCGCACAACGACACTCTTGATCTTACCTCCTAAATCACAGGGAATAAGCTATACTACTTTTAGGCCAAGTTTAAAATAACACAAGCTTCCATGGAATGTGACTTTTTTTCCAGGCCTGTCAAGATGCAAACTAACGTATGATAATTAGATTGGGAACATTTTCTGTGTGATTGTCCTGGTTTCGGCAGGGATAGAGTTAATTTCCTTTCTAGTAGCTGGTACAGTGTTTTGGATTTAGGATGAGAACAAAGTTGATAACGCACCGATGTTTTAGTTGTTGCT